TTTCTTTAGAAATAATTTTCTCTACTCAAATCATTATTACGAGTTCTTTTAGCATTTAAGATTGTAAAAAATCTCTTGAAAATAAATTTTGTTAATCAATGTCAATATATTATTATAAATTGTTAATTTACTTTTAAATTTTTCTGCACATTGAACAAGTTCTTGTGTTGATTGCATAATTATTCTTGAATAATTAAGTAATTTTTGTTTATGTTCATTAGATGGATTTTGAATTAATATTTGAATAGTTTCTAATAATTCTTTATAATTTTGAACACATATTCGACCATTATCTAATGTACGTTGTTGTAAATGTTTATCATCAGTTAAATAAATAGTTGATTTACAAATAATTAAAAGATCAATTATTGATTTACGACCAAAATTAACTGCACCTATAATATCATCCTGTTGACATGATTGTCCAGCTGATACAGCTTTTGATGTTGCTATTGTAATCTAGATATAATATAAACAAAATCAAATATTTTATTTTTCTTTTGAATTATTTTACTTGTTTTGTCACATGAACTAATTCTTCAGGTGTTGTTCGATTTGTTGATAATTGTCCATTATTAAAAGTTTGAAGCTCTTGTGCTATGGATTCAATAGTACATTCAAGTGCATGTGTTCCATGTTGTGATTTATCTTCAACATTTTTAACTGTACGTAATAATGATGTAACATTAGTTACCATAACTTTTGCACTTTCTTTTAATTTTTGCATTTCAGGATCAACAATATTTTTTCCGCTAGCTAATTTTGTTACATTTATTAAATTATTTAATGCAAAAGCAACATCTTTAACACTATTTATAAGCATTATTTGTGCTTCACCATCATCAGCACCTAATGATAGTGCACCTAATTTAACAACTGCAGCTAACTGAAATAAAGAATAATTCCATATTCAATAAATCGTCTTATTGTAAGATTTTAGATTTCAATTATTTTTACAAAATTCAACGAACGATAAGTTGGTAGCTTGCTTTCGGAAAAAAACATGGATCTACTGTATACTGGTTTAAAATATAGGATTAGTGTATTTTTGCTACGACACCAACCATTTAACTAAAGTTTGTTTCTTTTGGACTATTTCTGGTTCTTCGTGAGAGTACAACTACTCGGGCTCAAACTTTTACCATATCTAGACTATTGAGAATAATGGGATCGATGTTCGAGAAAAAAATTTAAAAACAGGTCTGCAGGAGTTTTCGATAGGACCTTCAAAAACCATCGGGTCTGCTTTTAAAATTGTTTCTTGGACATGGACTCTATCATTTTCAATAGTCCAGCTGTGGTAAAAAGTTGAGCCCAATCAGAAGTTGTCCAACAGAGAGAGAGAGATATCCTTAAGTCCAATCTAAATAGTGATTTCAATCGTCCATGAAATTCTCTATCGAATACATTCCATAGCAATGTTTTGTAGATAGATAATAAGAACAAGGATTGTAAAGAAACGAGCATAATTTTTTAAAGTATCACATTAAAGAACACAACACTCTAGATAAAATGAAGAGTTAGTGCGTTTCCTACGATCTTTCCTTAAAAAATTATAAGTGTCACAAAGTGAACTAACAAACGCATGTTGTTCATTTTTTGTGAAGCTTATAATTTTTTAAGGAAACGTCATAGAAAATGTGATGACTCCTCATTTCCTTAAGGACTTTGTGCTTTTTGAAGAAGGTACTCTAGCCAAGTGATTCCTACAAAATAATGTAAATATCGATTTTTATTCTGAAACCAGATCTTCTTGAAAGTCAATCAATTGCAAGCATATTTCTACGTCTTGATGATTTTTTTGAAACTTTTGATTTTCTGTATTCTTTATCTGAACTGGCCGAAATAAATGAGAAATTCTCTCGAGGAATTTTAGTTTTCTTTGCCAATTCCAAGTAGATCGTTTGCATTTCGTATTCACAATAGTAGAAAAAACTGATACTATCTCAATCTTCAAAAGGTTATCACTGTCTTAGTTTTTTTTCTAAGTATCAAATTCTATTAAAAATTTCAATTTATGTATGCATAGTCTTTTGAATTCAAAACAACAAAATTTATATCTATGACTGTGTCTAAGATAAAATTAAAAGTTAATTTTACCTTGGTTATTGTTCGTACAGCTGCTTGAGCTGCTGAAGCCAATTGTTCTTGTGATGATGCTGCGCCAGCAACTAATGTTTTTGTATCTTCAACAAGTGCTTTAGCTGTTTTTAAAATAGCTTCACGGTGATCAAAAAACGTTTCAATGACATGTTCAGAATTTAAAGTACCAGATGTAGCACATGAAATTGTTGTATCATATTTTTTTTATATCAAGAAACAATAGTTTGTAGAATAAAAATAAAAATAAAAAACTAAAAACAAATCTTACCAAATCGGTGATAATATTACTAACGGCACTTGAAGCATTAATACAAGCTTGTATACCATGTGCGCTTCCTTGTAAAACAGTGACAACATAAGAAATCTAAAGAATCATAATTGATAAAAAGAAAATTAATTAGAAAAAAAAAACGAAATTACTTTTTCAATAATTCTTTTACATAAAATATCTAAGTCATTTCTTGAATTATTTTGTCCTAATTTATCAATTAATTCAATTGATATTAAACCTAAATCTTGAACAATATTTTTAATATGTATTGATAAATCATTTGTATTGGCCGTACCAATAGCACCATATGTTATATTTATTAATTCATTATATTGTCGTGTTAATTGATTAGCTAAATGACGAATATTATCTGAAGTATGTATTTGTTCTATTGTTATAATCATTTGTTGTAAAATTTCAATCATTCGAATTTGATAATCAATAAAATGACCTTGATGTGTTATTTTTGTTGTATCTAATGTTGAAATTAATTTACGTACATTTTCACATAAACCATTCATTATACCAATTGATGATGATTGTTCTTCAATTGTATGAATTAATTTATATATTAATTTTATTAATAAATCACTATTATTATCAATTATTTTATGCCATTGTAAATTTTTTATATTTCCACCTGATTCTTTTGTACTAAAAATTAATTGTAAACTTGTTTCAACAAGAGATTTTATTTGTTCTAATAAATGAATCTTTTCATTTCTATATATCATATATGATACATAATGAATTGTATGATGAATAAATGGTTCTAAATATGTTATAAATTGAGAAACATATGAACTAATACATTCAGGTTCACATTTGGATGATTGACGTATATTATTAATGAGTTCAGTTAGAAAATGTGAACTTGATGAAATTTGTTCTTGATGAAACTAGAAATATAAATCTTTATATCCTAAACAAAATCAATACATAGTCTCAACATTTTTTGCAAAAGTCTTTAGTATTTCGAAAGTTTGACTGAACTCATACTTAACCATTATGATTTCAAATAGTCTGAACTCAGTAGTTTAAATTATAAAACTTATTTACATTCAATAATAGATAGAAAATATCAAACCTGAAGCGATTTATCTGCTTTACGTAATGAATCCACGTTTATAATAGCTTTATCAACTTCTTGAAAAAGTTTTCGAAGTTCATCAACTGCTCGTTCACATTCTTGTTGGCCAGGTGTCATTTCTCTGTTTAGAAAAGAAAATTATAAATATATATGTATATATAAACAAGTCTATTTTGATTAAACAAATACACATACTTAACAGATGTTGCCAAACGTTTAATTGCTTCTGATACACTCTTTGTATGTGTAGCAAGTTGTTGCCATAATGATGCTTCTTTCGAATTAACTATTAATGCTTTTGAACATTCAATAATACGACATGCACCATCAACTACATTTCTAGCAGCTAATAAAATTGGTTCTTGTAATTGACGCCCCTTAAAGAAAACAATCAATTAATTAATTAAATATTTCAAAAAATAAAAATAAAAATAAGAATCATACAGCAGAACTAATCGTTGGTGGTATACTAGCGAATTCTTTCAACATAGCATATGTATACAGTTCATCAATAGCTTGAACCAACGGACGACTTGTATCAATACAATGTCGATGATTTTCTGCTGTATATGAACTATCCAATATCTTAAAAACAAAAATTAATCAAAGAATATTTTTGTATTAAAGCAACAAAAAAAAATGATGTATACTTTAATTGTTCGAACAAGTTCAGCTGTTGCATTTGCTACATCTTTAGCTGATTGTACAAAATGTCGTCGAGCCATTGGATTATTTGTATTGGATGATGCTTCACGTGCAACATTACATAGAGCTGATGTATTCTTAGCAATTGTTGCTGCTAACGTTAAAATCTTAACAAAAAAAAATAAAAAATAATAGAAAGTTATTACAGAAATCTGTGTGATTCTTTGTGTTTTTTAGAATATTTTTCAAAAATTAAAATAAAGTCCAAAGAATACTATAAAAATACTCTTCAGCACACCTTCTTCGCGACTAAAATGAGAAACTCATATGCATTCGTTAGCCACATTATACAAATACAAAATAAGTCAAATGAAAAATCTATACTAGACAAAAGTAGCATTCAAATTTCGATGAACATTCTAAAATAGTCTAAGTGTTGTCTTTGATACATGTTGTCTTCGATTATTGTGGAAACGAACACAATAAGTGTTGGACTCATCCGATTACTATGAGAAAGAGTTGCACAGCCTCGACTGAAAACTTACACTCACTTTATTTTTCTTCGAAAAACATAACATGAGTTTCGTTCAAGCAGAATGACTCGAAAGAAATACGCTTTTGTTTGTTTCTTTAGGTTCGATATTTGTCAACTATCTGCAAATCCAACAAAACATTTTTATTCATGCTACGTTTCTTCTACTGACTATTATAAAAAGAACAACGATTATTATCGTCGACTTATTTTTCCTACCATTAGAATTTTTTAATCTAATCTTTCATGATCTGACTCAACATGTGGAATTCAAAAGTAGCACTTATACTCTTCTACTGATTTTAATCTATTAATCGAGCTGTAAGAACTTTCAAATTGAAAATTTGCATTCAATATTTCATACTGAAATTTCTCAATACTAACATCATTTTGATCTATTGATGGATTTGATAAATCCGAACATGCATTTCGAATAGCTGTAACAAATCTATTGAATAATATTTGATCAACAATAGCGTCCGTTCCTTTTGTTGATGTTACATCCGAAACACCGATAAGATAACTTGCCTAAATATTCAAATAAAGTAAAATTTTTAAATACAAGAAAAATCAAAAGAATTTTACTTGAGCTGATGATTCAATTAAGCGACATACAGCTTTTGATGCATCATGAACAGCTTGTATAAATAATTGATGATTTGTATTTTTTGAAGCACTAGCAATATGTGTCATAGCTTCTCCTAAACGTTTAGAATTTTCTACAACACTATCTAATGCTTCAAAATATGTATAATTGGCACAAGGTTGTAAAATAGGTTGTTGTAATAAAGTTTTCGATGTTTCCATTTCTCGTATTGCATTATCACATTCAATATGTTCAATAGTTATTGTTGATTTTGATACGAGACATGCTGTGATAACATCATTTATAGTTTCAGTAACTGCTCTATAAAGAAAAAGGAGAAATGAAAATAAATTTAATTAGAAAAAACTAAAAAAAAAAGAGTTCATTTTGTTTTATCTTTAACCTTGCTGCGTTAGCTAATTGATTTTTTATATCATTTTCATTTGTAGTTGGTTCAACAGACATCGATTTTGCATGTTCTAATAATTGATTTGATGATGTATGAACATTTTTTAATGATATTATTAAACGTGATCGTTTTTCATCTTCTTGTTGATAATTTATAAAATCAATACCATTATCAATAAATTCTCCAAATGCATGACTAAAATGTGCTGATGTTTTAGCTAAATCTTGTGTACCACCTGTATGTGTACTTATAACTAAATCATGTGTTGCTTGATTAAGCATAGCTGCTGAACGACTTATATCGTCAGAAGTTGTTGATGATTCAGGAAGTTTTCGATCAAATGGACCCGCTAATGTATAAACATATTCAGACATATGTTTAATAGCTTCATTAAGATAACGTTGTGATGTTACATTAGATATACAAGAGTTTAATGCTGATGAAAGATCATGTCCTATGTTAGAAAGTTTATTTTGTTCATTTGGTGTTGTTTGTATAGATTTCTTAGCTTCACATATAAAATGAATAAAACGTTGAAGAATATCATGTAAACGTGCCATAATTGATTCTTGAATTTGCCGATCATTTGATATTGCTATTATACTACATGTACAAATGATTAATATACGAAGGTTTTGAAGAGTATCATGTATAGATAGTTCCATAGTTTTTTCGTCGTTCTAAAATGAAACAAAATGACTTAGAAATCAATATCGATTAAAGACGAAAAAAAATGAAATCTACTTGATTAACAGAATTGATTAGTTGAGATATGATTGCATTCAGTTGTTTACAAATTGTAGTAAATTGTAATGAATATACATCGATCTAATGGATAAAGAAAATATAATTTAAAAATGATCCTAAATGTTGACAAAAATGGAAAATACCGTTTCATCACATTTTATTTTTAAATTTCCATCATTTGCTTGTCGTTTTATATCTTTCAATTCTGTTTCAAGTAATCTAATTGTTTCAACAATTGATTCAATATCTAATGGTATTGAATTACATAATTCTTGCGCCTATAAATATATTCTTATTACATATGAATGAAATTCTTAAATGTTTTTACTCGATTAAGACAAATTCGTAGATCATTTAAAGCTTGAGTTAATTGCTTTGAAGTATTAGTTAAATGAAGCGATTGAACTTGATCATGAACAATTGGTACAACATTTTTAATAAGATTCGTTAAATGCATTGCTGGACTAAGAAAATCTTCACATGTGTGACATAAATTATTTTGAAATGCATATGAATCTGGTTTAATTATACTAGAACGAATGCATTGAACAAGTTTTGGTATGATATCAGCAACAATTTTACATTGTTGAATAAGCTCTTGATGTGATTGATGATGTTTATGCATCATAGCTGTACTTGATGTTGCAGCAATACATTGTGTTGCATATGAAGCACAATATTTAGCACATTGTTCAACACGTTTAAATACTTTTCGTTTAATATGATTACTTGTTGCCATATTTGTTGCTAAACGAAGTTCTTCAACAGATCTTTTTAATTGATATTGAAGTTGTGTATCATTTGGTTTTGTTGCACAAGCTTTAGCTGATTCAACCATTTTTGCTGTTGCATCTGCAAGCATTTTAGCAGTTGATAAAAATTTCTTTTGTTGATTTGTATCATCATCAACAGTTTCAGCTTGTTGTCGTAATGAAGAAACAAGTTGAGCTGTTGCTTGTGCTAAAATTTTAGCTTGTTTAACCATTTCAGCTGTATCACCAACCGATGAAAAAAGACGATCACTTGCAATTAATATTTGATCAATTGATTCATCAAGATATTTTTCTTCATTTTCTTCATCGATTTCATCAATTTCATCATGTACTATTATTCGTTGTGTTAATAATTTTGATTGTCCACTTATACTAGGAGGAGATATTATTCTATCGGAATTAGCTGCTGTACTATCTGTAACTAGTTTAATATGAAGTAAAAATTCATTGAGAGTTTTACGAACTATTCGTCCTGCTTCTTGTAATTCAGAATATGATGATTCAATAGTAATAGGCGGTGAACATGATTGAAGAACAGCTTCTATTGAACGTGTTACACTACGAGCTGATTCAATTAATTGTTCTTGACATAAAGGACTTGATATTGTTGCCGCAACAACCTAAAAATTGATTGAAGTTTTGTTTTTTGTTTTTATGTAACAAGAAAATTTACATAAATACAATAGTCGCAAAAAGTAACTAAATTTTTGTTCTTTAGTTTTATAGTCTGCCCACAGGTAAAGCCTATTGAAGTCTTCCTGTCGCAAGAAATAATCAAAGCTTGATTCGTCTTTATGTAGAGAAAGTAGCAAGTCAACATAAATTTTTTCTTCAAACGAAGATATCCCAGCATAGAAAACAAATCTTATGATGTTAAATCCTTCATTCGAACCTAATCAGTGCCTCTATCACCAATAAAAATTCCAAGTCAAACAATTTTAGTTCACTTGATTTATGATATAATCTTTGAGTGATTTTAACCATTTGCCTTGAAATTTCCTCTAGTGATGCCCAGCTCTAATCAAAGTTTTCTGTGAAAGTTTCATGCTAAGACTGTCTGAAACAATGAAGACTTTCCAACATCTCAAAACTCTAGACGATTGAAGTACTCTATATGTAACACAATATAGACAAGCGAAGTTTTTTCTGTTAATAAGAAAATGGAAGTTAATGCATTTAAATAGTAGAAAACCAGAAAAGTGTTTTTTTTTCGGGTCCCGAGGAAAAAACAGTGTTTTCATTGTAAATACTTTACATTAAGGTCTATCGACCTCGATTTGCTACTTTTCATCAGTTTATCGAGATCTATATGTAGTCGAAATATCAGGTACAAGGACATGAGTTTATGTATCTTTTACCCGATTGCATAACTTCTTACGACTACTGTGCTCTTCTCTCTGAGAAGGACATCAAATGTTTTTTCTCCACATCAGCAAACATAGGCTAAGTAAGTTCATACAAATTTTCAAACCTCTAGCATTTATAATAGGCAACATCCTCTAGTGTGGAGATCTTTGTCTATTAACTTACTTTAGTACAAGCAACTAATTGTGACGTAGCTAATGCACATTGTGTAGCTGTTGAAATAATTTCATTAACAATTTGTTGTTCTTGTACATTAGTTGCAATATCTTTTGCTTTAAGTATATAAAATGCTGTTGTATTAGCAACAGATTTTGATAATGATAATAATTTATCTTGATATTCAATTGAATAATCAAAATCATTTGTTAAACGTCGAATAAGATCTTGATTTATTTCTCCAAGACGACTTGCTGTTAAAAGAACATTTTGTCTTGTTGTTGAATCATAATGATTTTCTAATAATGTTTTTATACATATTAATAAGTCATTAAATGTTATACATAAACGACGTGTTTGATCAATTAAATTTGTTTTATCATTAATTATATTTATATAAATATTTATTTCTTTAGAAAATTCATTTAAAGTATTTGTTATTGTTGTTATAGCTGTACTAAGAGAATGATTATAATCAATATTTCGACGATGATTATTATTTATATCAGATGTTAAAATAATAATATGTGCTGTTGAAGCATTTATGGTTGATAATTCACTAGTTAATATTTGACGACTGACATCAAGACGATTTTCAATTGAATACTGATGTTGATTATCCTTAAGAGAGAAAGGATAATCTTAACAAAAAGAAGAAGACAAAATAGAGACGCTGTTAGCACAATCCCTACAGAATTCAAATATGAAATACGATACAACTGTTGTCACTAATCATAAGAAGATTATTCTGTTCTATCTATTTTGAGACACACGTCTTCATCATCCCATTACTTAATTCTTCAGAAATGCAATAAAGAAATAGTTCATAGATGAATAATGTCTAACACGATCTATGACGTTTCTGCGGAAATACAAATTTTTATTCTGCATACTTCAACATTTCTTTTACATCATGTTTTACGAAAAATATAAAAACAAACCATTATAGATGATAATGATTGAGTTTGTTGTGTATGCTGTTCCATTTGTAATTCACGTGCTAATTGTGATTGAACTGTATAAGTAGTATTTCTAGCATTTTCAATTGTTGAAAAAAGCATTGTACCATCATTACTATGTTGATTATTAGATAATGATTTTGCTTGTTCCTATATTAAGGAAAAAAGATTGAATATGAAAATTGAAAAAAGAGAACAAGAGTTTTTATTTTACATATATTTGTGAAGAAAAATAATTTCCTTGCTGTTGATGATCAGAATGATTTGTACTATCTTAAAGAAAGAAGAAATGGATTCATTGTTAAGACCAAAGATTACAGAAACATATTTATAATTGATTTAAGTTATTCTAAATAAGAGAATCGAGTCAATTTGACAAAAATCAAAATAAAGACTCGTCCTATCTATTACAATAAGATCGATAATATTATTTTTTGTTACTTAGATGTTTTTAAAGAAAAACTAATAGACCAAAAGTCTTTTTATCTTAAATCTTTACAATCACTTTAATCTCTTGACTCATTCATCGACTATGACAGTCAGATTTGATTCTCACAGCTTATCGGAAAAGATGAAGAGAACTTCCTTGAAATAAAAAAATTTTTAACAGAAGATTTATTATAAACTCTATTAAATGAACACATGTTAAAATATATGTTTATCGTGCACATTGCGTCAAAAAAAAAAAGTTAAATAAACGTGTAGGAATCGAAACAATAAGTACGAGGCAAGCTAAGCACATAAAAAAAGGAAGGTAAATATGACGTCTATTGAAAGATCAATGGGTGTGGGTGTGTAGGTGTTAGTATTTTCTTCATCGTCATCCACACCCACAGTCTTAGTATTTATCCCTGATAAGCATGTGATGAAAAGCTAGTGAGATTGGCATATATGCTTAAATACGTTATATTACTTATTTCACTGTTATGATAGCTACAAAAGTAGATACGAGAGCACTCAATCGACATGGGAAGTGTAACTACTCTGATTTTTCTATACTGTTCTACTCAATTTTTATAGGTTGAAAGTAAATGAGTCATCAAAAAAAGTTGTCGTTACAGCTGTCTGATCCAAAAGAAAAGAAAAGCAATTGATTGATCAGTTAGTATTCAATGTCTTACGAACGTAATTATTCTCATAAGTCAGTCTCTATTGAATAAATAACTTGTTCTTTTATTTAATTAAGAAACAATATATATATATATAGAGAGAGAGAGAGGAAGAAAAAAGCAAGATTAAATAATCTACCTGAAAATGTTCCACGAATTATGGGTGGTGAATAAACATTTTTTTGATGTACATGATCAAATGATGGACAATTTGGTTCAATAATTGTCGCTCTAGGAATAAAATCAATAATAATTTTGCAAGAACTCGCCGGATTTAGAGACCAATCTGGAATCAGTATACAATATATGTGGTTTTCTAGAAGAATTTGCAGCGCATCGAATGATATATAAATCAAATTTTCCTCATATTTAGAAGACCTATGGGTCTATATATTAGTTATAATCTTTGAGGAATATGGATAGTACTCATGAACATTATGATTCCTAAGATAAGCTTGTGAAAATTTAGTTTTTAAACTCAATTCGATACAGTTATAGGTACTCTTCAATTTTTTAAAATTAATAGTTTTCATCATTGCTTTCTGCATACCTAAAATGATCCCTTTTCTTATGTCTAGATTACGTCTTGACTATATCATGTCTCAGTATGTTTAATACTATGTCACAGAATAACTGCTTTCCAACATGAAAATTTCTCAAAAACTGCATACTACCGAGCTCTATATTCTTTACAGATAACATCTTTCGAAATAGTAGAAATTCACTGTCAACTTATAAGACTGTTCCCTAGAATTGCCTACTTTCCTATATTTCAGAGCTGGTGGTATATTGATGATATTTTAACAATATTCAATGATCCTATTAAAATTTTTATGTTGGAAAGCAGTTATTCTGTGACATAGTATTAAACATACTGAGACATGATATAGTCAAGACGTAATCTAGACATAAGAAAAGGGATCATTTTAGGTATGCAGAAAGCAATGATGAAAACTATTAATTTTAAAAAATTGAAGAGTACCTATAACTGTATCGAATTGAGTTTAAAANTATCCATATTCCTCAAGTTTTCCTCATATTTAGAAGACTTATGGGTCTATATATTGGTTATAATCTTTGAGGAATATGGATAGTACTCATGAACATTATGATTCCTAAGATAAGCTTGTGAAAATTTAGTTTTTAAACTCAATTCGATACAGTTATAGGTACTCTTCAATTTTTTAAAATTAATAGTTTTCATCATTGCTTTCTGCATACCTAAAATGATCCCTTTTCTTAGGTCTAGATTACGTCTTGACTATATCATGTCTCAGTATGTTCAATACTGTGTCACAGAATAACTGCTTTCCAACATGAAAATTTCTCAAAAACTGCATACTATCGAGCTCTATATTCTTTATAGATAACATCTTTCGAAATAGTAGAAATTCACTGTCAACTTATAAGACTGTTCCCTAGAATTGCCTGCTTTCCTATATTTCAGAGCTGGTGGTATATTGATGATATTTCAACAATATTCAATGATCCTATTAAAATTTTTATGTACAAATAATCAACACAGTATCCGTGATGAAATGATATGAATAACTCCTTTATAAGGAGAGAAGCTTTTGTTTTGGTCTCTGAATCCTTGGAGGCATGTAAGAATAGAAATAATTTATTTTTGCAACAAACCTTCGTACAACCTTGCTCCTGTATCTATCACCTTGGGATTTGAAAGTTAAATATTTTTTTTTTATTATCAAGGAGTTATTTATATTAGTCATCAAAAATTTCAAACAATACATGAATCCAGAACACATCAAAACTTGAGAAAAACTTGACTTCTTATATACTATTCGACACGTCGGAAATTGTTCTCGAAAACTATATCTATGGTATCCTAGCTGAAGATAGGTCATTAAACTCAACGGGTTCCTTTTAATAAAAATCTTACTTTCCAGGTGCAATAATATCTTCAATCATAGTTGCTTCTTCATCGACAATATCATTTCCAGCTGTTTTATCTTCTCGATCTTTTCTCTACAAAAACCAATCATTATATTTTATTAATATATAAAATAATCAAAAACCTTTTTTAAAATAATATCAATATAACCAGCAATTAATTGCGATATTTGTTGACCTTCATGTGTTTGCACTGAATAATAAGCACTTGCATAATCACCAAAATCCTATTAAGAAAAAAGAAAACGAGCGCATGTATGCAATTATGTTCTAGTAAAATTTTCTTTTCTATACAAGTGTAAATGTATTCGGTGATGCTGTCCATCGTTTAACATGTGTCAATGGCCATACTTGAATAAACTATGTATATATAACAAAGCATTGAAATCTGAGTAATAGAAAAAGAAATAATCTTACATCTTTTGTTCGTTCATCAACACGAACAACTGAATCTTTAGTTACACCAAGAAGACGTGGTACAAGTTTATTTTTACCGGACATTTTTTCCTAATTAAATATATAATTAATAGATCATTTGTTGAACGCTTTTTTTTTCTTATTTTAATTACTTTTACAAGAAAAAATGTAACACCATAAGTTCGTAATGATCGACATAATTGTGTATATTTAACTTTTCCATCAAGTTCGGATAGGCCTATGTGTTTTTTATGTTCCTTTAAAATTAAAAATAAATGAATATTTAAAATAAATAAGTTAATTTTATTCTAAAACTTACTAAGAAAATTCTTTTTTCAACATTTTTTGTTTTTGCATATTCTTTTGGTAAAAAATCTCGTATACTAAAAATATAAAAATAAATCAATAGATAAAAGTACTAATATAATATTAATTCGGAAGTGCAAATAAACAAAACCGAACAGACGACAATATACATTTTGCATGAGAATGCAACAAAGTCATATTTTTCTGGGAGATAAAAATCGATAACAATGCGTTTTCTATTAATGTTTTATTTATTTGTATAATTTTTGTTTAGAAAGATTTTTTTTAACTTAAAAATAGTATAAAGATTTGAGAAGAGGTTTTTTTTAAATTAAAATTCCAATTTTGAAAAAAAATTAATTAGGGGAGGGCTTCTGTTGTGGGGAAGGGTTTATTGTATATGAGACCTTCAGCATGACGACAGTTTCAGGACAAAATTCACAAGCACTATTTTTTCGAAATTAAACTCTTTTAAAGTTTTCACTAGAATACGTTGTAGTATCTATAGGCAAAAAAATTATTGAAATCAGAAGGAGCATCTATTGAGGCGCCCTCGTAACTCATTGTTACTGCACTTCAAAACTGAATATTTTGCTCACGGTGAGAATAGTGACATAATCAGAAGATCATGGATGGTATGGTAGTGTCCTGCAACCTTAGGGGGACAACTATGAAATATAATGTCAATGATGGTAATTATTACGTTTTTCTTTCTTCTGCTGGTAGAGCAGCCCTCGAACTACCTCACCCATAGTTACGTCATTGAGTTAGAATTCAGTTACTATGAATATCGTCAGTTAATTTCATACTAGCATAATCTTCATTTTCTTTTTTAATTCTGAAATTTCTAGTTGCTGATAACTTTTTAGGTGTACTGTCAGTTTTTCATTTGAAAAAATTTATCAAAATCAATTTTATAACGAAGACTAGAATTTAGTTTTATACGCTTCATGATGTATATACATTTTTTTTTTGTAATTTTCTTTTTGATAGAACAGAAAGCAGCCTACAATAATATAAGTCAGATGAATTTATGTATATCTTCTTACTCAATAATTCCTGGTTTATGTTTTGATTCTTCATAATCTCCAAATTGTATTTGACATTGTAAACCAGAAAATTGAATAGCTTCATCATAAGTTACTGGATGTGTTCCATCAATAATTGCATTTCGACACTAGTAAACGATAATACAAAAAAATAATTTTCTATTTGTCTCTTTTTCATTTTAATTATTTTTTTCGTACTTGAACATAGAGTAAATTAAGTTGTACAGGATCACGTTGATCAATATTAGTATCAGAAAAAAAATATTTTCGTCGTAAAATAACTGTAGATTGTTCATCTATATTTTGTTGACGAAGAGTTTTTGATTGATCAAGCCATAAAGCTAAAATATTTAATTTACAAAATAAAATAAAATAAATAAATTATATAAAAATTTTTACTATCGTCATCTGTATGACATTTTTTTCTTAATTCTTCCATTTTTTTATCTGTTCGTTGTAATGATCGATCCTACATTTAGAAAGTAAACGATTTTAATAAAAATGTTTAATTAAACATAAATTCAAATTACTCGAAGAAGAGTTGCTGTTTTTGTATTATTAATACTATCATCAGTATCAATATCATAAACTAGTGAATATTCATCATAATTTGCAATACCAAATTTCGTACATATATAAACCATTAATTGAGCAACAATTAATGAATCATCAATAAGAATTGTTTTAACAGTACCATCAAGTAAGCGAATTTTAAGTGGACGATATCTATTCTTATACTCAACATGATCCTATTTAAAAAAAAAAAGTACCAACAATCAAAGCAGTTCAAGATGTTTTTTTTTGTAATCATACTTCATTTTTCAAAGCATAATAATTCAAAGTTTTTGTTGGATCAAGCCAATAACTTCTTACTGAATGTTGAGCATCATTAATAAAAAGTCCGTATTCTGATACTAAAAGGAAACATTTAAAACAAAAAATAAAATCAAATGATAATTTTCCTACGATCATGATCAATTGTCATTAGTAAATGTTGTTGAATATTATAACATATATCATTAATTAACATTTGAATATCAAATTGCATTGAATGAATAACATTATCGTGTGGTATATGTATATTTAATGTAATCATATGTTCACTTGTATGGTTATTTCCATTCATGATTGTTGAACTATTATTTTTAACCATTATTTTATTATTGTTATGTATTCGATGATGATTATATTGCTGTTCGTTATTGTGAGTTGTTTCTTCGCAAACATACTTCTAAAAAACAAGAAAAAAAAATTGATAAAAGAAGAGATTGAATCTTAATCAAAGAATGTTTTTAGATGTGGAAAAAAAAACAAACGAACTTCGATTATTATTACTTTTACTATTCTTTCAGGAAATCGTTTTTTTTTATTGTAAATGAATAAGAAAAGAAAAGAGCAAAGCAACGCACAACGCCTTCAACTAGCAACAAACATAGTTTGTGCGTGTATGGCCGCTGTTATGTGGTGTTCAATGGTTCAGAGGAAAAGAAAGAAAAACGAAGAAAAAAAAACTGTTCTCCTTTCTTTCCGCCTGTCCTGTCCAGTCAACAATGAACTTATTGTTTTTTTTTCTCCCGTTCTTTTTCTGCTCTTTAGCATACTTAACCAAGTAATGACTATTACAATAGTTGCTTTTGGATGACGAGATATATATGGCACTCATATGCGTATACAACGCAACAGGCGTTTAACGCTTGTCTACATTTGTACGAATGATAACGACCCTCTCTGAATGAACAATCGTCATTTCTTTTAGGGAGTAGACTCCCACTGACACAATTCTATCCTTGACTTCTATTTGCATTCATTTTTCATCTCTCTCTCTTACTACAAAAGACAAATAGTTAAATGATTAATTGATATTCAATAATCAACAACGACATTAAGCCAAATAGAAAGAAAAAAAATAATAACAACAACAAATGAGAAAATATTTTAATCTATAACAGTCAAACATTGATGTAATATATCGGCTTGTTCATTTAGATCATTATTTAACCATTTTTCACGTATATGTATTCTCATCGGTTCATTGTCAATTAATATATAAGCAATCATTGCCTTATCATAATGAATTTTTTCAAATGTCTGAAAATGAAATTTTTTCCATATATTTTTTCTTATTATCCAATTATCTTTAATACATTGTAAAATATTTTTATCATTAATATCAATTGAAAAAAAATTCTTTAATAATAAATTCCATGCTTGATAATCATTTTTATTTTTATCATAATCTAAATAATCAAATAATCGATCAAATATTTCAATTGAATTATTTATTTCTTGACAATAAATTAATACATATGGTGATGAACTTGGATCTAAATCAATTAAATATTTTAAATAATTTATATTTAAATTAAACCAATAATTATATTTATATGCATTTATATATGTTCGATGCTGTTCAATATATAATTGTAACATAGGTAGAATTTGTTCAATATTTGTTTCAGTTATGTAAAGAAAATAAAGATATTTTAATAGATATATATCATAATTATCAAAATATTCATTTGACAAAAATTGTATTTCATGAAAATTAGTTGTTAATTTAAATGTCCATAATTCTAAATCACGTTCATTATCTAATGAAATTTTTATTTTATTTATGAATGGATTAATTATTGTTTGAATTAATGAATAATCATTTAACCATTGTCTATAATCATACAAAAAATGTAAATTTATTAATAATAATTGTTCGAGTTTTGGATCAAATTTTTCCATATATGTTACATGTTTACATCGACCAGAATAAAATGGTGGTGGAAGATTTTTATAACGTGTTTCAATATCATTATATAAATATATTGTTTGAGGATTTATTAAATATAAACATAGATATGAATAAAATGTTTGTGTACGATTTATTGTTGGTGAATGAAATAAAATTTCAAATATTTGTGGTAATAAATTCATATTTATTTGATTATTTGTATGAAAATTTTCTATTAAATAACGAAATATAAATTGCCAATAAAGACGTATATATGAACGACAGAATGATGATTGTAAAAGATATTTTATATAATAAAGTATATTTGTCCATTGATGTTTCATTGAATAATGACGAAGTATTAATAATAATGAACGTATTTGATCATCATGATTTATTGTTATTAGTTGTTCAAGACGTGTTAATATTTTTCCATTTGAATACATACGATTTATTGATATTAAACCAGTATACATATCAGATTGATATCGACCGGAAATTTTTGTTCGACATGGTATGCGATTTGAAGAAGAAAATAAATCAATATTATCATTATCCTCTAGTGGACACATTTCCGATGATGATGATGATGATGATGAATGACGTAGACGTTTTGTCATGATATCTATAATATGTTGCCTCTCAAACATACATGCAAATTCATCATTAAATTATCTCTTTCTCCTACAAGATGAACACTTAATAATTTTTGGAGAAACCTTACCTCTTTAATAATTTCTCGACGGAGAACCATTGGAATTTATATGAAAACAGATAGATGTAAATGTGTAAACTGAAGAGCAATGTGAAATAATAATAATAATAATAATAGCAAAAGATAGACAAAGAAGTATATTTATTCGATCGTAAGAAGAAAAAGAGAAGGACTAATGTAATAATGTTACTGATTGATATTCTTGTTTGTATTACTGAAGACAAAATCATTCTTCTTTTTCTTTTTCTCTTTTTCTCTCTCTCTCTCTTTCTCTCGTTAAAGTCAAGCATTTCTCCACATTGAGTCTTTCTTCATCTGTAAATAAACCAAAGAAACAAAATCAACTATCTTTCATCGACAATATGGCAAACCAGAACTCCGCTGAACGATAAAAAAGTCGTCTCATCCCGTCCCATGTACCGTGCTTCCTTGTCCCATCCCACTTCATTTTTCTGGCAGGCTCCTATTCCACGTTGCCTTGTCCCGTCCTGTCCTGTCCTATCCCGCCTCATTCTGTCACATTAACATAACTCCTGGTTTTCGAACTGGAATTCAAAAAGGTACGCGAAATTGATACTTTTATCTTCAGTGTGAATCATGTCTCTAACTAATCATGCTTCAAAATCAGATTTAGATAGCGAAATTTTTATCTCAAAAAAGATGAACAATTCAACAAGTACAACTTCGAATGCTACTCATCGAGTAAGTGATCTGAGAAAAAGTATGTTATTGAGATTTTGTGGATTGATTGAAGACCGATGTTCAGACATGCTAAGCCCACCTTCGCTAAATTCACGTTCTACTGTTGCTAAAGTTGCTGGAATGCAATGGATCATTCGAGTCAACTTCGACAATAGTGGTAAATTTTTCTGATTGAACTTCCAAAATATTTTTAAAGAAATACAAGATAGACCACAAAAGAATGAAATCAAAAAGAAATAAGGAGAAGGAGACTATCATCTGAATATACAATAGTATGAAGATAACCAATCAGATCACTTTTAACAGCTGTTCTTGTCTACTCAATTGATAGATGTCATTCAACTGCGACGTGTGGAAAACAACACGCGAAAAACCTACGTCAAACAGACCAGACGGGACGTAGAAATGAATCGATCTTGTCCTGTTCTGTCCTGCAAGCAATCACATCCCGTCCCATCCTGTTTCACCAAATTTTCAATTTTAGCGTCCCGTCCCGCCCAAGGGTGGAGTGGGACGGGACTAGTCCCGCATCCCTCGGAGCTCTGTGGCAAACATATACAACAAAAGAAATCAAGAAAGCATGATTAGTTTTTTGCATCATAATTTTTATTAATAATCTTAAATGAACCATGATCATGTTGAATAACAACGCCTTCACCAAATGTTATATCAACTCCACAAGAATATTTATCAATTAATTGTTGAGTTAATGGTACTTGATTTTCAATAACTGGTACATGAGGTAGATTAAGATGCTCAGCAAGTTTTATGAAATACAATAAATCATCTGTTTTTCGTCTTGTATATCGTCCTTGATTATTATCAATATTAAATAAATAAACAGAAAATATAACCCATTGTAATGGTTGTGTGCAATGTGGATTATTGACTTTTTTTTGTATACCTCCACCATATAATTCACCACGTAAAACTAATGATATCTGATTTTGTTCACAGAAATTTGTTAAACATTCTTTTAAAGAATATTTTGAAACAATATGTGTAAAATTATTTGATTTTGTTAAATCATATTCACAATTTCTTCCACATACGCCAAATTGTTTCTTTTCATAGGAATAATAAACTGAACAAGATGTACCATCAATTTTTTTTGTTACATCAACTAATTCATTCCATGGAAGATTATTTCGAAAATTTTCTATACGTTCTTCATCTGTTTTTGGTATATTAAATGGTAAAGGACCAAGAATACTTGTTGGATCTTGTATAATAGCTGGTTCAAAATGTTTAATACCTAATTGTTCAGCTACACTATCACCTTCTTTAAGATTTTTTTCATTATCACTTAAAGGAATAATTAAACCTTCGGACCATTCATCACGAATTTTAATAGCTCGGACACGTGGACGTGCATATTTTAAATAGGGTTGTGCCCATGATTGATCATTAGGTAAAACGGAATCAGGTTGAATAAAAATGACTAATTGTTCAGGTAAAAAATTATCACGAGGTGTTACACATTGGTAACCAAGAATGGAAACAAGATCAAGACGATCAGCATTTGAATGATGTTGAACAGAAGCTATCCGTTCAATCGTAGCAATTTTCATTCGAATTGATAGATTTTATTAATATTATTTAATATATTTCGATAGTTACTGAGCTAAACCAATGAATAACAAGCACTATTGACATCATTTTATTTTTATGTTTTCAAATTTAGTGAAATTTCATTTGCATATATTATGTTCTCTTTGAAAATTAATTTTTTTTTAAACTAAATTTAGTATAGATGGCGTTAGTCATCTTTTCTGAAACTAGATGGCACAAATCTATGATTTCATCTATTGCAATTGCTCAGTCAATATTGACTACTCTTAGCCAAAAACAATCAATACTATAAAAGGATTAACATGAATCACTTGTTTATTTTTGGCCTATATCTTCATCAATGTTATAATATGCAAAAAATAATAATGGATTATGAAGCATATTTTGTTGCATAGACAATAATCTGTACTCCATATCATGTTTACCAAAATGTTTGATAATAGGTGACAGTTCGTTGTACTCAGTAAAGTAGCTCAATGCTTATTCATTTCATGACCATTCTTGAATATAATTCTTGATTGACTATCAATTATATGACTCAGATAAAGAATAAGATCTAAATATCAAAGAAACTAGCCTTGTCTTTAGAATTGAAATTAAACTTGACATCTTGCAAAGATTGGATCGAAATATGAGCTCCAGGTTTTATATTCTACAAAATTTAGATGCATTACATGATCCGCCTAATAAAAAATGAACTATATCTATTATGTTCAAAATCATTTTTTTCAAAAACATACAATTGAAACTTGAATTTAATATTAGTTCAAACTGTGTCATCATGTTGAGTTTTCTCAAAACCATAAACAATAGACAAAAAAATAACTTCTATTATAGATCTGCAAATATGACAAGATAAATCAGCATAAAAATAATAATAACATGGAAATATTTTGTTTATGTTAATGTTTACGAAGATCAACAATGACTTTTTTTCTTCTTCTTAAATGAACCTACGTCATTCATTGAATCGCTACAGTTTAATACTTTATTTTTAGAAATCAAATTGCTTAGATAATATCGAAATAATCCATTATTTGAATTTCTCATCAAGAATTAATGAACATCTGAGAACGATATATATTTATATATTTGTAAAATTGAGACGCTATTTATAAGCTACAATGATCTTGTTCATCAATTATCTATGTAAAAAGAAATCTTCTTTGAAAAATGTCTATGCTAATTTATACTTAATTTATTACTATATTGCTTCTTACTTTTTTTTTCTATATACCCACAATGTTATGTTATGAAGAACAAGTACGAATTGCTTTTTGTAACCCTAGAAAATATTTTGATTTATTGCAATTAATAAGCGTGTCGAATATATATACATGTCTACAATATATATATGTGTAGAGTAGAAAAAATATTTTGATTTTAAGTACCATGATTCTCTTAGCATCTCAAGTCGTACGAACTAACATGATCATATTGTTTATTTGTAGTAAAAGAAATTCTTTTGAATATGAATATAAATATTTTTAGGATACTTTTATAGTTGCGACAATAAATGTTGACTGTCGACCAAGTGGTCGTGGAAAAATTAGTAGTGTTCGCGTCTCGTAAGCATTTAATATGTACGATGAGAAAAGTCATTCATATTTTTGTTTCTTTATTTATGTCTAGAAATGTGATCAAAAACAAACTTCATTCCAATAGTATTAGTCGGTAATAAGATTTCATGAATTTTGCTATTTTATTCTTTTTCTAATACTAAAATATCTGATAGGTCATGAGCATAGAGAGCAGAACGTCTTCAATCTAGGATAGACTCAACAATCTGGATAAGATCTCTACCGGAACGTTAAGAATAGGGAGAACGGAGGGAGAGAATTTATTTATGCCATTCAGATGAAAGACAGTTAATGCTTCTTATTTCCAATTCATATTTTGTACTGACTAAAACCAACTATGGTTTAGCAACAATTCGTAGCTGATGTCAAAAAAATATCCATTTAAAGAAACACACTAATATTTGTCTTTATTTAACTTCAATCTACTCTACTAAAAAACAGAATTCGTAGTGAAGCATTTAAATTCACAAATAAAAAAAAAAGGCATAACGTTATGAGTTTGTTCATTGTATTACAAATATTTCTTAGGCATATAAACTTAGTTCCTGAAGACAAAGAAAAACTGTCTGAACTTCTTCATTTGTAACGAAGGAATATTATTTTAATTCGTTAGCCCAATATTTAGTCATAAAAAATTCGATGTTTCCTCAAGAACATTTTCTAAGTGTGCTTCACTACGACGAAAATATTATTATGGACGGTAGAAAATTTTGACGGTAGTACAAAAATTTCGATGCACTGTGTAGTCCTATCAATCTAATGGGATGTGAAACTAATGTCTGAGTTTATCCTAGCCTACGATATCTAATCTAGGATAGGACTCAGCCTCATAGCTCCACAGTCGATGCACTTGACTGACTTTCTGAAATGATTTTTTTTTCGTATAGAAAATCGCCATTTTTACATACATCAAATAATCATATTTTGGTTCGTGGAGCAACTGGAGGAGGTACAGCTCTATTCTTTGGTACATTAGCTTTACGATCATATGTTTTGAACAATCACAAAGGACCTATTGAATCGAGTCATATCCTGATTAGTTCGTTAACTTTTTCTAATTCTTATTTTATACATTTCTTTTTTATTCTAGATGGTTCAGGAAGTTTATGTGTAAATAGAGAAAATTTTTCTAATTTTATTTTTAATGAATTTCGTTGTCCATTATTACCTATTTTTGCACTTGATAATCGTTATTGTTGCGGTCCATTTCAACAACAATATTGTTGTTCCTTCTGGGAAAGGTACTTTTCTCTTTTCTGTGTGTTTTTTTGTTCTTGTTTTTTTTTTATATGAGTTTTTTCGAGAATGACCTAGTCTCTGCTCGTCTTTCGGCATTCATTCTTTTTCTTTTTTTATTTCTTTCTTCCGTCATCACATCACTAGTAACAGTTTAGAAGCAGTCTGAATATGTGTGTTGCTCAACTACGGCAAATAGATCTAATATACAAACACAAATTCTTTTTCTTTCTTTTTGCTTTCCCATTCTTAATGTTTCTCTCTCAGTTGTTTTTTGCATCAATCGAGTGATGCTCACTGAATGCTTATACTTTTTGTAATTGTCTATAGATGTAACTTTTAACTAACTAGATAGACTTTTCGGATTAGGACATAGAACTAACCATTTAATGATTAATGTCAAATCAATATGTGGAAATTTGTTTTGTCTTTTTTTGAAAATAATTTTGTGTTATGCAAAAGAGAAATTAGTTGCTAAATTAAGAAAAATGAAAACGTATTCAAGAACAAAACTTTGATTTCTTTTTGACAGGAAATTATCTTTTATTTTATTATTTTTTTCTTTTTAGCGGTGGTCGAGCAATTACTGCTATTATTGGTATTATCTCAGCATGTAGTGTTTTCATTTTATTTATTTTCTATTGTATTGTTTATATTCGACGTTATTCAAGACGTAAAGGTTAACATATATTTTTCTTATTCATCAAAATTATATATATATTATTTCATAATAGAGTCATCAAGTGTAAAATTGTATTTAAATTATCCTTTTCGCACTCAGTTGTTGTATAGTGATGGTGAGTGAGATAAAGAAAACTAATCAAAAAAGCTTCTATATTAATCATTGCCTTGTGAATTAAGTTTATAAGGCGATGTTCTAGTTTTGTAATGAATAAATTATAAAAGAAACAAACATAAGACTTGAATTGATTCTTGTTTCTTTTTCTTTCGAGTATTAAAAGAAAATATACTATATTATTGATAGGTGTACGCAATCAAACCAATAGGGAATAACTGGTAATTAACAACAAACGATTAGTTAATTATATTTCTTCAGATTGTATGTAAAATTTTGAATGAAATAGATATCAAATAATATTTTCTTATTTTCTAGTTTTCTTCCAACATATTCTGAAGTAGTAAAATATGTTAATAACAACAAATATTGATATTGCTTGACTTTTTGCTTTTTTTTAATTAATCTTCCTTTGAAAAATGTTTTTAATAAATATTTGTATTTGTAGATTTTAGTTTTCTGTTATTTAAAAGCAAAAAGAGACTATGAAACATAATTATCTATCCAGGCGATTTTATTTCTTATTTGCTTTTTCATGTAAGTTGAAAAAAATGAGATTTTTTAAATAATTGATAAGAATTTTTTTTCTAGTGTTAATATTATCGTTGACTGAAGGCAAAGGATTTGGAGGTGGAAGAGGTGGTGGTGGTTTCAAAGTTGGTTCGAAAGGATCAGGAACATTTGGTGGAGTGTCAGGTTATAGTCGAGCCAATAGTTATAAACCTAATATGGGTCAACCGTAAATAGTTTGATTTTTTTTTAATTTTTGTTTTCTATACTTTCTTGATTTATAGTCGTACGGGTAGTAGTTTTAAAAGTAAAGCTATTAGTTTTGCTGCTGGAGCTGCTGGTGGTATAGCAGCCTATTCAATAATGAGATCAATGGCTGGTACACATCATTCACGACCTGGTGGTTATTATCCTCCAGGTTATGGAAGTAAGCTGTAGAATTTTTCTTTTTTCTTCTAGAATAATTGTTTTTTTTCTGCTTTATAGCTGGAGAAACTTGTGTAAATAATGAAGATTTGAATGGTACCGTTTTTGGAGAATTTCGTTGTCCATTAAGTGGATTTCCGCGTGAAGCGAAACATTGTTGTGGTGAATATGGACAACAATATTGTTGTGAACAAAATAGAAGGTTTATTCTTGAAGAAAAATCTTTTTTTTTTTATTAATTTTTCTATTCTTTTACTAGTTTTCTTAGTAAAGTTTCACATTTTGGATGGATAATTATAGTTGTAATAATTTTTATTATTGCTACGATACTTTGGATTTGTTGTCGTCGACGCCGGCAAAGTATGTTGATTAGGTTTTGTTTGTTTTTCTTCGTTTATTTGTCTGTGTTTTTTTGTAGAAGATGCAGCAATGATACCAACAGAAGAACCAATGAACCAAAACTATGGGCCACCACCTTTTTATCATCCACCACCACAAAATGAATATTCATATGGAGTTCCACCACAAAATCAATCAGGAAATTTTAATCCATATGTACAACAATCTCAAATGCCATATCCTCCTCAACAACAACTAACTAATCCGTATTAAGTTTACGAAAAGGTAAATATTCTATTTTTTTGTGGTATTCATAAATAGACTGAGAAGATTAATTGTAACACGATCACACATGAATGAATACGAAAAAGTTTTTTCATATCAATTAGCATCAAAAAAATTAATTATTTGAAAAAGATTCCTGTGTTTTGTTGAAAAAATAGGGTAGAGTTTTTCATAAATTATTGATAAATATTAAGAAATGGGGGTTAAAAGGTTTTCTTATAAATAACATCTCATTATGTTTATATAAATGAATCAATTACCGTCACGCCATTCAAAATTTGACTTGCAGAGGAGGAGTATAATAATATATAGATAGTAACAAAACATCTGAGATATAAACACTAGACCTATTATCTAAAATTTAGATGGTGAAGTGTCATATACACTCGAATCGAATTCCTATATGACTGTGTGAATTTTTATATTTATATAGACTTTCACACAACCTTTTATTTCACTCGTAATGACATAATTGCCAAATGTAGAAAAAGCAATGATATTTAATGGAACAAATGTAATTATGATTGCTTTTTTATACTTCGCAACTTTCTTACGAATACAATAAAAAAGTTTATAGGAATATATAGTAATGACAAGTCTTCAAAACGAATAAAAATTTTCTTCTAGATATATGAAAACATTAAGTTTCTTTTATTTTTAGATGTTCCATCAGGTTCGAATGATGCTATGTATCAATAGCAAAAGAATATGATTATCAAACGAGTTCAACAATCTCAATATAGAGAACATGAAATGATTCTTTGTAAAATTCTCATTTGATTCTTTTATTTTATTTTATTTTATTTTTCTATTGTATTGGTATTATGTTTTTTAAGCACGCTTTCTGTATTGCTGTATGTCAAATGCATAAATCTATAAATACTTTTTTGTTGTTGCCTTTATTTTTCTTTTTGAAAAACAATATGATATTATTAAAAAAGACTAACATAATAAGCTGATTTGTCTTTATTCATTGTTACATAATAGGATTTTCTCGAAATGATATTCACAATGCTCATAATGCCAATGACGAAATCAGTCGATATGCCATGTGAATATTTTGTTGTATCCAAATTCGAACAATTTTATCTAATTCACGGCTCTATTGATTTTGATTCGCTTGAAGAACAAATGATTTACAATTGATTGTTAGGAGAACGGCTTAAGATTATAAATTATTGGTAAATCAGTTTTGATAAGTATAAACAAAATCATCAATAAATGTTGATAGATAGGTCAAAATTCTCATTCAATAGATTTGATCAAAAGACATTTCGACAACTTATAACTAATGCACTATCTATTTGATTATATTTAGAACTAAGAATCAATATTTCCAATGAATTTTAAGATTTGTCTAGACAAATTCATGGGTCCCTAGCAAAGTCACGAAATATTGAGATTGAAAACAATTGCATGTTGATAAGTAATCCTATCATATATGATTACACTTCTCTTTATTTCATTTCCTAACATATTTTTAATTGAAAAAGCAAAAGAAATGCTCTAGTATGTTGAAGTTTCTATACAATTAGAAAATTATCACTGTAGCAATGCAACATCTAAAATAACATTCATACATCAACAACGAAACAGATCTATGTTGATCAAAGACTAGCTGCAATATAATGAATGCATTGTATGTCATTGAGATTATTCTCTTTCAAGTATGCTTCCTGTTGTCTGTGCAAGTACGTCTAACTCTTTTCTTCCCATTCAATTTCATTCATGTATTAAAATGAGTCGTCTAGAAAGGAAATAAATATATCTATAAATATCAACAAGAACATGCCACATATCTCTATGCAAAATATAGATAGTATGCTTTAGTTCTGAAAAGTGTTTCATAATGAAACGAATTCTATTTCGACAATGTCAGTATTCAAACATATTGCATTCATATATTTTTTGACTTCAAGATGTCAATGAGTCCATTTTCTAATGCATGTCATGCGTTATAATATAGTAATATTTATTCATGTCATAACTCTTTCATTAATAATACCAGAACCTCACTTAGTGATACATTGCTGTTAAAATAACTATTTCTCTATTAGGTAGACCTTAATGACACTAGAGAAAACCTAGATGAATTGGTGATAACGAATCTTTCTCATCTTGAGTTTTAGCTATTCCAGTGAGTATTTGCAACAAATTATCGTACTTTTCTTCTGATCCTTTTAGAAATAGACTTGGTACTTTCGAGGTCAAGTTGCACAGTTAATGTTCTTGAGAGGATTAATTCATTGTGAAAATGTCAGACTTACTATTATCTTCTTTTCCTGATAAATAAAACTATAAAAATAAAGTTTTTTTCTTCTTTTGCATAAAACAACATGCAATGATGATAGGAAATATTGAGAAAATCTGATAGATTCAGGATAAATTGAGAGTATCAAGAATTTTATTTTTGCAAAATTTGAATTCAAAAGTTAATTTTGAAGATGATGATATTTTTCTTTTTTAAACAAGTCACCAAAATAGTTATAAATCAAGAATGAAAAGACTCATTGATATAAATCCTTTTCGATTGTTATTTGTCTTAATAAGAAGCACCGAATGAAATAAGATTCCTCTCAAAAAGGATTTATTACTTGACAAGATTGCCGTATAGGAAATCTCGAAAGATGTTTGTGCTTGTTATATAGCAGATCATTTACTTCAAATATCTGCTTATTTTGACTCATTAGTTTTATTATATGAGATATTTAGATATTATTTGTGAATGATTAAAAATAACTATATAAATGTTTTCTTTATGTTATATATCTTTGCCATAAGAGACGAGGGTGTATATGGATATCTTTTAATTTTCAAAGTTCAATCTAATTAAGTTCTATATAGAATGAAAGGTTGCAAGTTCTTAATAATTTTCATGCTAATATCAAGGCATTTTGATTCCATTATAGCTGTAAATACGGTTTATCTTCATGATACACAAAATGAGATATTACTTAGTTATTAATATTAGCCAGTAATGTGAATATTCGTTTGACTGATGATGGATAACAATGAGAAGTGATGTAAAGTTGTTTTAATGGCTCTTTGTTCAGACTACATTTCTATAATAGAATCATTCATTTAAAATAATGTTTTGAATCTATTAGACCGATTTTAAATCATTCATTGCCTACATTTTGAATCTGAAATACTCATGTGCATTGTATTTTTCGTTTAATTATTATGCTAGTACAACTTTCTTCACCCTTAGTTCATTTTCATAATCGAAAGAGCTTTTCAGCCGCTACAAAACAAACTAATTTTTATGGTCTAAAAAAAATTGGTCACATAAGATAATCTTAGTTTACTATTCGTGACGCTCTATTTTGAATTATTTCGACTTATATTTAACAGTTATTAAGTAGGATAATGTCCATGCCTTTTCAAAGAAATATCATGCTTCGAATTAGCACAAAAAAGTGAGTGAATTTATGTATGTTTCAATTTATTGCTGTAACTTATTTTTTTCTAATCAAATTCTCATTTCTAATCTCGCTTCAGGGCTAGATGAAAAATAAATTTAATTAACAGAACCATCGTGTTGTTTAGTAATCTATTTTTTTTCTCATTAAATAGTATTTTACAAGTCTAGAACTTGCCATTCACGATCACAATGACTTTTTGATCAAGTTCCTTTTTTCAAATATTCTTGAGAAGGTCTAGGAATCGAAATTTGATCAGAAAAAAAATTAAAACACGTAAGTTGACTTACTTTTTTGTGTTAATACCAAATATGATAATTATCTTGAAAACCATGAAATATCATTCGAAATAATTAAAAATTGAGTTTCACGAATGTCGACAATTCACCATACTTTGACAAACATATTTTTTTCATATCTATGTATGTTCGAAACATGTTTGTTAAGTTTTCTTTTTGTATATTGTATATATTTAGTTATATTGTTTTTCTGTCTAAGAGCGTATAAGACGTATTCGTATTTTCAAGGTAAATTATGCGTATCATATTCACTCGTGCTGTATATAAAAAACCTAGGAAGTATTCTTTCATTCGTACAGCTAGATAGTTTTGATAAGAATGAAAAGCTAACTCTTTTGTTTTGAAATAATGACAGTAGGCTGAGATTCCCGAAAGATACTAATTGAAGGAAGGTCACCAACTGTTTAATTGCTTTTGTATTGAGACTATGTACATTATGCAGGTACAAATGAGCTATGAATACCCTGAAAAAAGTTCCGACAGCTAGCTTATTGCTTCGAAGATACTGCACTTTTACGGTATGTTTTCAAATGAATGCCGTGATCCCCCTCAGGAACACCAGAAAAATTGATTTTCAAATTTCATCTTGAAACTTTGCATAGAGACAACTATTAACGAGAGTAGTATATTGTAAAAATTTCAGGTCTGTTGATTTGCTTCTATCTTAAAATAAGATCATCAAATCTGTCATTGTACATGAGTGAAGTAAAAGATATGCTTTTACCACAGCTGTATCTTAGGATAGAAACAATGGCAAGATTTAATAATTCACAAGAACCTATTCTCTTTAAGAACTGACTCCGTACATTTTTTCAAGTCAACATTCGAAAATCTGTTTTTCTCATGTTCCTGAGAAGTAGAGTTTGGCGATCCAAGCATTACTCAGAACTGCAGTTTCGATTCGATTCCCATAATATTATTTGAAACTGGCACTGCTTATTTATAAAATTGATACCAATATTTTAAATTTGTTTTGAAAAATTTTTACTATTGACTTATTGAAGATAAAGATACCATATATTTCATTACTACAACAAAATAGTATTATACAAATATACTGAAATAATTATTCGCAAGAATGAAAAAAGTGAAGATTTCTCGGAATAGGTTTAAGAAGTTTTTGGATCGACCTGATGATTTATTAGTTTCACTTTCGGCTTCAGGAAATTTAAAAAATTTGCTTCCAATTTTTTTGGAACCGTCGAATTCTACTGAAGAAAGTTACAGCATTCATTTAAAAATTACTGTAAAAACGCAGTATCTTGATAGCACCCAGCTAATGGTCTTAACTCTTTTCCGAATATTCATAGCTCAGTGGGGCCCATCTTTCCTCGTAAGTTATAACTTCGTCTCGATACATGGAAAGGTTAATATGACTACATTGTAGCATCTGTGAAAACGAACCACATTCAAAAAAATTGATTATGCGCTCAATACAGAAATCTTTCGAAGACTTCTCACTAGTAATATGGATACGTCCATACAATCGTTCATATCTTGGTGTAAAATTCAAATTTGTTTACTTTCATGTATTCTTATAGCTATTGTATTTATGATATTCATTTGAAACAAGTGTTTTGCTTCTTTATTTATTCTTATTTTTATTTTTTTGTTGTAAAAATAAAATACATATTTAATTAAACACGAATAGCATAAGGAACAGATTGATCGTTCTCAGTTGAATTCTCTTCACGTATATTTGTCGTTGTTTTTTGTATGGCTGACCGGCGACAATTGAATGATGTATCACGATTTGGTCGAAATGATACTGATTGTAAACGATTTGGTAATGATGCTGATGTAATCAATGTACCTGTTGGTTGTACTAATGATGCTAACGGTACAACTGAACGATAAGTCATATGAACATCTATTTGTCTCCAAATACGAACAATTTTATCTAGTTCACGATCATATTCATTTTTCTCAGTTTTACTTGGTTGAATAGAAAGTGCTTTCCAATTAATTGTTAAAAACGATTTAAGATCATGAATTATAGGTAAACCAATTCGAACACGTAATACAGTATGACCATAATTTCTATAAGCACAAACGAAATCATCAATAAGTTTTGATAGACAATCATATTTTCCATTTAATGGTTTATATGAAAGATCATTACGACGGCTTATACCTAACGCACCATATATTTGACCGTATTTAACACCGAGAATAACATGACGATATACAACTGAATTAAAACGTGTTTTAAATGATATATTAAAACGATCGAGACCGAGAATACCAGTTGTTAAATAAAGCCCAATTAAAAATGCTTCGAAACATTTTATTGGTAATGCTTCTGTCATCCTAAATATTAACATAGAATTATTTAAGAGAAAATAAAAATTTCTTTTCTTTGTTTAAGTTCTTACATATGTCTCGCAGTATCCATTAGTCCGTATAAAGATCGATTAGGATTAAGATCAAAAAATTGCATTCCAGTATAATTATATTCTAGACGCTGAATATAATGTTGTATGTGCTGTAATTTTTCTTTAACGGTCAATCGAGAATTAGTTGCAATATGATACGGTGGATCAGGATATGTCACCGGTGAAGAATTATCAATTTGATTACGTATTGTTTGAATTTCTGTTACGTCTAAGAATTCATTGACAAAAAAAATAATGTATTATTTACAATTGTAAATTGAGAATCTTTTGAACTTTTTGATGAAAAATAAACAAAAAGGAAGGTTGAATTAGTTTTAGATTTTTTAATTTAAAAAAAAAAGGCAATCTATTGTCTAAGACTTTTTCTCTGTTTCTACTAAAATAATTTTTATCTAGACTTTTTCTTATTTCTGACAACAGAGATATTATTAGATGATTTTAATAGAATTGCTTCACTACAGCAATGGATAATTTCCCGATTGTATGCCTCATCGTCAAAATAGAGATCATCGAAATGAGAGGTCGCAGAATCCCTTTCGAACCCTTATGTTTGTAAGTTTCATTTCAGCAATCATTTCTTACATTCACACTCTCAGAATATATATAATATATATTCATATACATATACTGTCGATATGATTTTGAGAATATCGTCGATAGCTTTGACTATCGAAATATAGATTGCCGAATTTCGGCGAAATAAATACTGATCAATATCTCTTTTTTTTTATTATCATGCAGGAATGTATCATAGTGAAAAATAATTATGATTTCCACTTTTGAAGAAACAGTACAACCTTGTTTAAAGATAGTATTTAAAAACCAATTGATTCTATTGTATAATCAGAATAGAATAGAGTTAAAATAACAAAAGAATGAATGAAGACGTTTCGAAGAATGATATAAGATTAGTAAATGAATATGAATAACTTACTATTAGGATATTGTTCCATGCAAAAAGTCCACATTCGTTCATTACATCGATCTGATAATGGAAGACCATCTCGATTTATGTAACATAGAACAGTATCACCACTTCGCATCGCCTCATATCCACATGTTGTTGTTGTTGCCATTACTATTGACGAAACAACTCGACACCGGCAAAAAACGTAAATAACATGCGCAACAGTCACACAAGAAAAGAACTCATTTTCAAAACAAAGATTGTCAGCATCTGAAGAACAGATCAAATATTTGTTTTCTTTTCAATTTTTGAAATATATTCATTTTATTTTATAATTTGAAATAGAACGAAAATGTAAGAATAATTTCTTGATTCGATAGCAACTAAACAGCTGATTGTTATCCATTTTAAATCAAACTTCCTTGGTAATCCTTTACATATAAATATTAATAGTATAGATGGCACCATACACACTAGAGGTTGATTCTTCATTTTTACATAATGAGGTTTTAAACGATTTGTAAATTGATCTTATGCAGTAAGTAAAGAAAAGCTTCGAATAAATTTGCTGCTCATCATGACCAACCAAATACCATTCTCACATGGACAGGATTCGAATTTGATAATAAAGAAAGCTAAGTGTACAATGAAATTATTTCCATTTCTGAAGAGTCTTGAGTGACTCAAATATGCGAAATCTTTCTTATAGTCATCAACTCGAAAGTTTATGTAAAAGTTAATGAAATACTCTTGTAACATAGAACTTTCTACAATTAGTAAATGTTTATGAACTAAGATAATACACTCACAAACTATCTGTATTGTTCATGAAACTTCTTAACGAAATTTGCTCTTATGGTTAGAGCCATGCACAAAGTCAACTAAATTTTCAGTTGAAAATTCAGTTTTAACATATGAACATTTTTAAATATTACATGGAAGAAAGCTAAAGTCGAGAAAAGTTAGAGTTCATTTTGACTCTAACTTTGTTTCGTGCCCGGATGCTTTTATATAAGGCATTGTTGGAACCTCCAAAATGCATCAGTTTCTACAGTAAATATCGAGAACAAAACTTACAATTCAAAAAGTTCATATGTTCAAACTGAATTTTCAACGAAAAATTTCGTTGTTTCCGAAATTGACTCCATGCAAAGCTCTACTTATAGTGTATTTTGCTTGCTTGCATTGCTAAGTTTCGCAACGAGTACAACATTGTCAAACAAAAATCAACGAACCCTATTGAACGCATACATTGTTAGCGTTGTTTGATTTAATTTTCACATCTGTTTTGTAGAAATATTTTCTTACAGAATTTTATTAGTATCAAAAAATCGTGAGTGTTTTTAAATTATTAAACGCTTTTTACTTTTCTTGTTCATAAATATCCATATATTTAAAATTACGATTGAAATTCGAATAAAATAAAGTATTTAGTTTATCAAAATTTAGCCTTTCACTTTTCTCAAAATTTTTTTTCCGTGGATTTTATTAAGAAATACATCATTTGACACTGATGACGAATATCTGGTGACTCTTGATTATTTTTATTTTGGTTTTTATTCTGACCCATACTGTAATTTTTGGAAAACGAACGAAAGTTCGCAACGAACAGCATTTTTTGTTCGATGCAATTATACTTGTTAAGAAATGGTCTGTTTATCTGAAAGTTTGTTCTAAATTCAACGAGTTTTATGTAGAACATTTATTTATATGTTTGAGTAATTTTTTTTTTGGAGTAACTCAGCTGTAGCAAAAGAAAATTTCAAAGTGTTTGCTACTATTGTGGTGAGTATATGTATGTTACAATGAAGAACAAAATGAAATTCTGCAACGGTTGGTCACGTCGTTTTTTAACACTTGTACATTGATTAAGGTCATAGTTTTATTAATCAATGTTTCTGATTAAATAGTAATTATTTTATTCTATGGAAAATTTGATAAATGTTTTTATTTGTTTTAGCTCTTTGAAGAGTATTTTGTTTTTTTTTTTTATTTTTATTTTTAAGAAACAAGCTAGGGGAAAAGATTGCATTTATAATAAATTCTAATCTTACTTCCATTGTCACAATAACAAACAAAAACTACAATGATTTTATGTTTCATATAAAATATCACTATGACATTAAAAACAAACAGAGAAAAAGACAACAAACGATTCAATGAATCTAATCAAGTAAAAAATCTATTTGGAAAACAAAAACCAAATTAAAACTTTTTTTATTTATTTTAATCAGTATGTTCTTCTTGTACGACATGAAATATTTTCTGTAAAGCAATGGCAAATGAATTATATTGACGATTAAAACTATCTGGTTTCTTTTTCCATACTACACCAAATATATAAACAGGTACAGCAGTTCCAAGAAGTATTAAAGATGTTTTAATATTTTCAATATCCGTAATAGCACTTGCTCCAATAAGTATAACTAAAATAATAATGAATATGATTGGTATTATCATAGGGATTTTAATTGGGCGTTCACGATTCGGATGTTTATAACGAAGAACAATTAAACCAACAGCAGTCAATAAAATACCTATTAATATATTGTAAAAATTAGAATAGCATAAAATTCAATTGAAATAAATTTTATTATTCTACTGATTCCGATAGATTTTCTTTTCGTATGAAAATTTCAACAACAAAAAAAAAAGTCATAATTCAGACAGATCCGTTTCGATTAATTTTCATTTCGATGTTAGATTTCATTTTTCCAACATAGATCAATCTCAACATTAATGCATTATTGATAGAAGAAATATTAACCAGTGTATAGTAGAATTTCCAAATCTAGGAATATTTTACATTTTTAGAATTGTCTCAGATTCCATACAAATGCCTTAGAATTCCTCGTAAACTCTCAAAAGCTTATTAAAGGATGCCAACTAAGTCATAACAACTTTCCATGTTGGCATTTCTTTTCTCTTTTCGAATGCAAGTGTGAGTGAACTCAATTCTTACATTTACACTCAACCCTCATATTATATTGATTGTTTTATTCTTTATTTATTACTAATTACTTGTTATTAGTAATAAAATAATGAGAAATTTTTTCATATTTCCCTAATCAAAAGTCATCCAAGTTCTACTATCATCAAAATAAAGCAAATACGAATACAAAGTAATGAGTAATAATAATCATTAGTCTTTGTCCAGTAATAGTAATAAAACATAATAATAATGTAGCACTCGTGTTCATTGTTAAGACACACCTATTGAATATGAAAAGTGAACAACAGTGTGAGGGTCGAGAGGGCAGCGTCCTCCCGAAAAAGAGAAAATCTAGATAAAATATTGATCAATATTGATAACTTTTGTATTTTTCTTGTTGTTATTTATTATACAAGTTATTCTCTTGTATATTTTAAATATAATTATGAATTATTGTGATTAATAATATTAGAATCGAATTGAGAAATCAATTGAGGCTAAACATAAACCTTCTTAATTCAATAGTATACTTACAAATCCAATTAATCATACCAGCACATATAATTAATGTTCCAATACTTGACATAAAAAAAAGAAAAATAAAACTAATTATAATTTCAAACATAATAGCCATCATTGGTACATTTGTTTTATAATGTCTCATTGAAAATATATGTGGCATTAAACCATCACGACCAGCCACTAGAAAAATTTAATAATCTTTGCTTTATATAAATAAAAAAACAAATTCTTATTTTTCTTTTTACCATGAAACATTTGTACAACAGTAAAAATATTTCCTGAGGCAGCTACAAAAATAACAAAAAGAAAACGTTATTTCTATAATCTTTACAAAAAAGATTTATTTGCCTCCAACACAAGACATTGTTACACCAATTGGTATTATATATAAAAGTGGTAGAAATACACGTTCAGCAAAACTAACAGCTGTAGCCTCTGATATTATAATATCATATGTCGATAAAGCCGTAAAATAAGAACTGAATGTTAAAAAATAAATAAGAATACATAATAAAAGTGATATAACAATAGAGCGTGGTAAGACACGTTTTGGATCTTTAAGATCCTCAATTGCATTATTTAAATAATTCCTTAATACAAGAAAATAAATTATATAAATAAAAGAAAAAAAAATTGAATTTATTAAATTCTTTACCATCCAGCATAAGGAAATAAGCCAGCATAAAATGCACTTGTAAGTTTGCCATATGTTGAATTTTCAAATGGTTCAGCAAAATTTTCTCGTCGACCAATAATCATTCGATACAAACCAGCACCAATAACAATTAATAATGAAGCTAAAAAATATCAAAGACAAAAAAAAATCAAAAATGTTCAATATAAATATTAGATAATATCTTATTTTACCAATTTTAAAATAATTGCAAACTTGATGAAGTCGATTTGTCCATACAGCTGATGATAAATTAATAAAACCAACAATAAGTAAAAGAAGTGATGATAACAATTTAACCAATATATCTGGTGGTGGACATGTTGGATAAAACCAATAAACAAGATAATTTGAGGCTGTTAATACACTTAATACAACAATCATTGGTCGTGATAAAACAACTTCAATCCAAACACGAAGAAAACCTGGAAAATTACCAAATGCTACTCGAAGATATGTATAGTCACCACCTGATGATACATATGAACAACCAAGTTCAGCATAACATAATGCTCCCTAAATGTAAAATTTTTTTTTTTTTTGAATTTCAAGATTCTCTTTTTTTGAATTTCATTCTTACCATAATACAGAGTAAACCACAACCAACCCATACAATAATTGATAGACCATAAGAACCGGAAAATTCTAGTACAGCTTTAGCACTTATAAATATACCTGATCCAATGATGCAAGCTAATAGAAGATTAATAGCATCGAGTAGACCCATGGTCGGTTGACGTTTAGTTCCTTGTGATAGAGTTGGTACATTCGCTCCATGATCCGTACTTGCTGGAGCCATCTAAAATAAAAATTAAAATAAAAAGTATTTAATACTCAATACATTTTGTTTCTTTTCTTATTTCTCTCATATAAAAATTGTACAATTACTAGAATATGTTATTCCATAAGTAACTAATAACAAAAAAAAAACTTTTCTAATAGGTTTCATAGAAATTTTATCGATAACAATGAGAAAGCTGATAAAAAAAAACAGAAGCAAATGGAGACTGATTGGATGAATGGCATCGAACGGTGCTGTCTCATTCAATGCCTTTTTTCTTTCTTTCTTTCTTTGCCTTACCAACACGCTATCGGTCACAATATATATGTATATAAAAGAAACCAAATGAGTACAGCAACAAAAAAGAAAAGAATCTACTGCTACAGAATAAGTCTGTTACAGAAGAAGACATCATCTTCAATATTAGAAAGAAGAAACAAAAAAAAAAAGAAGAAAATCAGCAAATGAAGAAATAGGTCAACCATAATACCATCGCTCTCAACACTTCTTTATTACTCTATATATTATTAATGTAGAAGTGTTGTTTCTTCCTTATTAGACTAGTATCATACGGTGTCATAAAGTTCATCAACAATAAATGCAATTTTGAATATCTTTCGACACTATTAATCAATCAAATTTTCTTATGGCGATCAATTTACACATGAGCAAAAGAAAAGCGAAATAGAATCGCATGTAAATATAAATCAAAGCTTACGCTCATGCATACAAAAGTGAAGCCTATCGTTACAAATATTGACAACATACATCCAAGGTTCGATTATCAAAGCAAATAAAATCTTTCTGTCGCTCTCGAATATGAAATAAATGAAAATTTTCTGTTTTTCTTTTATTTCACACTTGAATCTTTCTTTTGCATGATAAAATTAAAAAAAAGAAACATAATGTGAGACAAAAAATATAGATTCTCGAATTGCATCAATCAATAATACTTTGATAATATTTGAAGTGTAAAATTTTATTAAGAAAAATAATAGGATGATGATAAGATTACAAAAATAATGTTTCAATCAGTATTGTGTAACTGACTGGATTATAATAGCATGTGCTGTAGAACGTATTGATCATGAAATTCAATCAGTAAATTTATTTATATACGATTATTGGTATTCTTTTAACCGATAAGTACTAAAAGATAAGATTATACTATATTTCAAAATATATTGACAAGTTAGATAATTAATATGGAATATTGAGACATATATGAAATAAACGAGTACATTGAATAAATAATATTTCAATATTAACAAGAGATAATTTTGTTTTTTTTTGATCAGTAGAAATGAACTATTGAGCAAATACATGAAATATTTTGAAGAATTATTAATCTTGTTAATTGTTCTTTTATGTTTTCTATTTGTTATTTTTGAAAAAAAAGCATTTAATCATTATTATAAATACCGATAAAATTGATCAGTACAAGAATTGTAATGATAACTGGAAAATTCATTATACGAACAAAACTCTCTTGACAGATACAAATAAATCAATTGATCGGCTATAAAAATAAAAGAACTAATATATTTCATTTGTTTTTTCAATTATTCATTAGTTATAGCCTGTCTTAATTAACATCGACACAGAAGGCAAACAGATATGTGTAATAACTATAACTGAGAGAATTTGTTCAGTATAAAACCATCAGCAACAATATCTAATAAAAATGGATGACCAAGTGAGATAAGTTCGAAAAGAAAGTAACCTTCTTGCTAGTCTAATACCAAGAATAGGAGTATTTTCATACGATTCGATCAATGTATTTCTCATCAATAGTGGAAATCTAACGAGATCATGTAGTGTTCATCTGTACTGTTAGCCGACAAGAGAGAGAATCTTGTTGTCAGAGAATATAATTTTTTTTTTTATAAATCTTGAAAAAAGGCAAAGTTAACAACATCGGAGAATTTTTAGAATTAATTATTTTTGTTCTAATATTTGTAATAAAAAAATAGAAAACAAATTTGATTTTTCATTTTGCATATCATAACATAGAACAATCAGAACTATTCGATTATTGTTTATGATGATCAATATAAGATTCTTTGGCGGTAATAAAAAGTTCTAAAAAACCTTGCATAATTTGTTCATATGGTTTTTCATCATTAAAAATTATAATCCACTCAATCCATTGATTTATTTTTATATCTGAATGAGAAAGAAAATATATAATAATATCTTTCGCAGAATATATGACTGCAATATTGTTTCTTTCTTGGATGATTTTATACGTTATACATGATAGTAATGATTAAGAAAATTGAACATAGTTATGTTGAATATATTTCAAATAAAAGAATAAAAATCAAATATATACAGATTGGTCCAAAAGTCACTTGGATAGTCTTTGTTTTGCGAATTAATTTTGATAGAAACAAGATAGAGAGCTGTGTTACTGCATAATTCTATCTATGATTAAAAAGTATCGATTGATAACTAAACTGTAAGTCAGCAGACTTTAGAACAATATTAATAGTTCTATGGAGATAAAAAAAAAGTTTACTTCTAAGAAACGCATTAGATCTGCAAGCTTCCAATTCAATTCAAATCCGAAAAAATTTTATCCTGATTTGTTTAAGAGTTATAGGCGCAACACTACTAGATGGTGAGGGTGTAGATCGCGAACATACGAATTGAGCACATTTCGTAGAATCGCACTTTTTTTTATCATTTTCATAGATCTATTAGTTTTTTTACTGAAGTCTATTGGTTGACAATTCGATTATAAATCGACATTGTTGAAGCATATATGAAACTATGCAGTTACTCAACTCTCTATCTTGTTTCTACGGAAAATGTCCACAATCAAAAAACAGGCAGTTAACTTTTGGATCACACTGTATGTGATATTATTTTTGTTGATTTTTCCATGCTGTATGAAGTAGAATTATATTACGACGTGGCTTAGCCAATTCACTAACTCGATCTGTTGGTTGAACACATAGTGCTTGTTCAGGTACTGCTTTTGGAAGTATATAAGCTTCTTTATAGCCAGTTGGTGTTTTTTTTGGTTGAGAAAGTTTCGCTAAATGATCTGAATATCGAGCTGTTAATGCTGCTGATTTAACACCACTATAGGCATAATTTGTTATATTATCAAAAACTTCTATATAAATAAGTTATAACAAAAAAAATTATTATTATTTTTTTCTTAAATTTTTAATTGAATTACCTTGTCGAATAAGTCGTTCACGTTTTATTTTTGGTCTTGATAAATCTTCAAGACGTGCTGAACAAGACTTAGCACGTAATGTAGTAAATGGAATACCAGAAAAACGTGAACATGGACGACGTGACCATGGATGAACGGAATGCATATCATTATAATAGCTATTTCTTGAAAAAACTGAATGACGTGTATCCATAAAATCGAAATGTCGTCCTGAATAACTACTCAAACGTGATATTTGAGTTGAATGTCCGTGACTTCGCAATCGTTCATCGCTATAGAAAATGAAAGATTAATATAAAGGATACTATTTTTATTGATTACTTCATCTTTTTTTTTGACTTTAAAATATATCAATTTTTGTAAAATAGTTCTTGATTATTTTCGAATTGCTTACAAACACTTGCTCAACGACAAAAATCACATGCGAAAAAAGAAATGACAACCATTCAAGTACAAAACAATATTTTTCTTAATGTTCGTTTTTTTTTTGTTCTATACTAATTCCATTTATGCAATGTGACATTTGCAATAGATGATCATCTCTAGTCTGTCAAACGGAAATTCTTGTTTGAAGTATGTCGTTTCCGGTATTCATTGATGTTTGAACTCTATCATCAGGATTTTCTCTTGAGAATATTTTTCATTATCAGCATATTTATGTATTTCAATTTTCAATAAGTAAAAATGTTTAAAGAAACAATTACATGGTATATAGAAAAAAAAAGAAAATATGATAAGCTAGACTAGTTATTTTTTTCATCATGACTAAACTAATTATATTTCGTCATTCCATCCATTTATCTATTTATTAATTCGTCTCGTTCTTTAGTATATGTTTTTTCTATCTTTAGTTCGGACCGGCATGCAATGCAAGTGCGAACAGATGAATAGAAAGTCTAATCTAATTTATTCTTATCGATCTAAGAAAAGAAAAGAAGAAGAAGAAGACAAAAAAAAAGAAAATCTCTTCCATTTGTTCATATTTTGACTTTTGATTATTATTAGACAAAACAAATGTTTCTTAAGTATCTTCTACTGTTTTTTGCAATATTTTTTTTTACATATTCTCAATCGCTAATTAATATTGCAATTATTGATGGTAATCATTATCCAACAGGATTTCTTAATATCGTCATACCAAACGTAACATTTTGTAATCATTATGGTTTAATATTACGAACTCAATGGATTAATTCATCATATTCATTAACCGATCTTATTGATCACCTTGAATCACAAAAAAATCAAACAAATATTTATTTATCACGTGCAAGTAAATTGTCAACAAAATTAGTTCAAGATTTTTGTCAAACATATCGTATACCATTTATTAGTATGCGTTCATTTGGAAGCATAACAACAACGTTTGTATTCGAATTTTGTATTAAATTTGTTTTATTTTGATTTCTTGTTTTGTTTATAGATCATTTAATTATGAATATTCTGTTATGCCTGATATTCTTCGTGTATTAATAAGTTATTTAAAATATCATCATGTACAAAATGCTGCATATATCTATGATAGTCATGAAGCAACACATCGTATATATGAATTGATTAAATTAATGAATAATGATGAATATTTTAATGATTTTTCATTGAATATAAGAACAACACGTTATCAAGATGTTTATTCACTATTATATAGTATTGAAATTCATTCAATTAATAAAGAACGACCAGCAAAATATATTCTACTTGATTTTGAATCATCTTTAGATTATGATAGAATGTTTAATAAGATTTCACATATGGGTTTGTATGAGATATTTATTTTTATTTTTACTAGTAAAGACGGTAAATTCTGAGTTCAATTTAGTTGATATGT